AACTTATCTGCATGTGGCCATCCTTTATTACATTTAACAATCAATCTCAGACTCAGTGAAAATCACCAAATGCTAAAGGAGGAAAAGATAATTACCATCTCTCAGTACTTGACTCTTCATGAGATCTACACCAGCTGACAGATTTACTCAATTTGGATATTAACAAGATTCTCCCTACCATGAAATTTTAACATATAACAAGCTAAGACAATTTACAAAATTTTCTTCTCTTTTGTGTTATAATGCAGAATTCTAAAGGACTTGCAGAAAACTGTTTGTTCTGTATTTCTCATCAATTACAGGGGTCAGACCTTTACCCATCTGTTCTATATCAGACTTAACTATCTTGAGGAATACAACTGACCAGTCAAATCTAGAAGCCTGGGGCTCAAAGTGATCTAAAAGTGGTTATTCTTCACCACTGCTAAGAAACTTCCAATAAACATTTGTCTTTTTTTTTTGTCAATGATGTAAATCACTATTCAAAGTCAATATTTAAGACTTTGCTTGTTAAACAAGATAAATCTCCAGTAGTTGTTTTGATTTTTACAGAATTAAGCAGTCTTTGAATATTAGCTGTCAGATTAAAAAATGCATGTGTGCTGCTTTACATTTTATGAAAAGTAGAATATGCTAAACCAAGCTTAACAGTCTACATGCAGAAAAAAGGAAGGGGGTGTTAAAAGTTAAAACAGTTTTCACTCATTTAAACAAAATATGAAAACAGATTGACCAAGACAGGGTTCAAACCCCTGAAAATTTCTCTACTTCCATGTGATGATACAAATACCACTAGGCCCTGCCATTGCTCTATTGTCTATGTAATTATTTTTTATATAAATTTCACATCACAAAAATAAACACGAACACCTCCTAAGAAAGTTTTAACAGTAGGTTTTCAAAGATTCTAGAAAGAAAATGCATTCTGAAGAGCTCAGAAATCTAGTGAATAAGCTTTAGAACAGAAACTTTTATCAGAGGATGAAGGAAATGACCTGGTCCTCCCATATTGACACATGTAGCAATCACAAGAAACAAGGGAAAGAAAACAGGGGTAGAAGGATGTTGCCCTGTGAACATGAAAACAAGTAGACTGAGCAGAGCATGACAGCTTGGAAGGGTTGAAACAGATAACCTTAGCCAGAGAAGCCAGAAAGATATAGTTATAAGCACTTTCCTGCTCATGCTGATACTTGGGCAGCTTCTGCAGCTAGTACAGATGCTGAGGCAGCCAAGTGAATCCTTATTGCCAAGTATGATCCAAGTGCATTCTGTTGATTTATCTTTAATAACTTCATCCCACACAGCAAAACTCTCTATTCAAGTACCCAGTGCTGTGATGGGGTTGACTGTGCTGTCTGACAGATGACAATGAATTCCATTTCCATCAGGTCATTCTTGAAATCTAGTTGCTTAAAATTGTCTCGCAGAGTCTGGGGCCCTCCCCAAAGCGATAGGACGTTTCTCCAGTCCATCCATCTGCAGAAATCATTTTAAGAACCGCTGTGCTGGAGTGCCTGTGTACCTTCCTGTAATTGGATTTAGCTGCACAGCGTTCTGAGCATTCCTCAGGCGAGTGGAAAGAGGGCTTAAAGCTTGAGGGTCTCCCAAGCAGCGTGTAACATATAAGCAAAGTCTTTTATCTTGTGTCTTCAGTGCAACTCAAGCCTAGGCTTAAGTGTGTGGATAAATGGAGCCTCAGATACTGTTTGCATCCTGGGAGCACATTTGGTACTGGCAGTTTCAGCAGAGTCTGGAAGGATTTGAAGCTTTAGGGTATTTCACTGTCCTCACTTATTGAGAATGGAGAGAATGAATGAATTATTCTCAACTAAGCAATTACAGTCCAACATCATATGTTAATCCATTTCCTTCTTTTTCTCCCAATTCTGAGTCTTCACACAGAAAGAGATGTCTTAGAAACCAAGGTAGTGACAGTAAGTCAACTTCAAATATGCTTATTCTCCTAAACTTTGTTTCTTGCAGTCACCCAGAAAGGTAGGATTACACACACACGTGCTCATGCCAAATGATTTAGCATCTCTTACTGAACCCTAGAAGTACAGATTACCATTTCTCTGTGTCATTTTACACTTTTCACAGCCAAAAACTGATCACATGCACTATATGCCTGGAAAGCACTGGGAGGACTACTAGCCACATCTGAGCAGTCAAGTGTTGCTATCAAAGGTATCAGACTTTACAAATTGCAGAAAAATATTGAAGCCAGAAGAAAAGGATATAGTAAAAAAGTATATTCTTACGACTCAGAACAGGCTCCAAAATGTTGCCATTCTGTTTAGGAAACTCTAAAACAAAAGTATCATAGTATCCAAGGGTTGAAACAGATATGTGTTGATAATAATGAAAAAAATATTTGCACATCCATCACATGTAGAAGAAAGAAAAATACAGAGGGTTTGTTTCCTCTGAAGTTCAAAGTTTCAGAGTTTTTCCATGGTGAGTTTGGACTTAACTATTTAAAACAATAACTGCTTTTAGACTTTTGTTTTTATCACATAGAATAATTATGAAAATTGCATCCAACATGTCCATGCTATTTTATGGGAGCTGACCACAAAGAAGGTTTATAAAGAACACTGCAAACTCTAATTCAGATGCCATCAAAGCTTTACATACAAAGGAGAAAATGTAAATGTTGTTAATGTCAAAACCCCATCAGTGATTGCTATGTAGGTGCCACAGAGGACTGCACTGCAGCACCAACAAATACCACATTATGATGTTAATTTCTGGCATCAGCAGCTCTTAGTAATGGTCATTGTTTCATTCTTTCTTTGAACTGTCCTCGGGAATAAAGTGATTACTTATCCTCTAAGGTCAATAAAGCAATCATTGGGAGGAAGCTTCTATTTTTCACATAATTTTTACTGGAAAGTACTTAACTTCCTTCCACTTTTCAGCAGCACATAGACACCGAAGGTGCCTACGACAATCTGTAAATAGGTAGTCATAACACCAAAATTCTCTTTCCCCGTGAACCTAAATTTCCAAGATGTTCTTTTAGCTTCCCAAACAGATTATGGGAACCAGTGCCAGTCAGCTAATCTAACTCTATATTGGTATATAGTGTTTTGTTGGCACTGCTGATGGATTATCTGAGAAGATTGTAAGCCACTGAGTTACTCTGTGCATCCCTTGGGGCAGCGGCAATTTTTACTTTCACGTGTAGAACATCAGAACTGCGTTTTGGAGCCTCTCTTGACTTTTCTGCAAGAATGCAAATACTACACAGAAAAAGATCAGAGTGTTGAACATCCACCATGACCTGACCAGCAGACAGGAGAGAGAAGAAACACTTATCCAGATCCTGCAGTTGGTGGTACTTCACTGCATTCAAGACCCAGGGAGGCCCCTGAACCAACTTCAGCCACAGGTGTTTCAGTTCAGTGAGAAAAGTATAGATCTGTGTTAATTTATTTTGGTAATGGCAATTCTACTTAGGACAATAATGGGGAAAAAAAAATCCATCCATTTGTGTTGTTGCATATCATTATTGGATTAAAGTTTAAATCTTGTCTCTTTTAAAGGCTTTATAAAACATCATCACCTTATTATTGCTTTACTTAAGTAGCAAAGTGCCTCAAGCAACATTTGTTATGCAGCTAAGAGGGGGGCAGTCCTGAGGGGAAGACCAAGGAGTTTTACTGATAAACAGCTTAGCAACACTCAAGAATCTTCTTGATTGCCAAAGGGACTCTTGAAAAATTGCATCTATAAACTTATAACACAACTTGTCTCACCATGCAGCAAGCAGCAGGTTTCACAGTTTTACTGCAGCCTGATATAAACTTGTCTGTGCTGAGCTTAAGAAAAGGCTGCAAGTGTATTCTTGAACTGCTTTAGTACACATTAAACCAGGTGATTTTTAAACAAAATTGTTTTACTAAAACTGAGAGGCAGCAAGTAGAACTGCAAAAGATTTGAGTCTGTTCCACAGCCAGTGTAAGACCTGGGACTAGATCACCCTCACAGATGTGGAAGAGGAGGGTGTCTATCTCTTGTGCCCATCAGCAGAGAAGTGAAGCACAGGGAGAGAGGAAAGCAGCCATGGACTATTTTTGCTGGTGGCAATTTCACAGCCTGTTCAGAAATCAATTGCAATTTTAATAACATATTTTTCTGAATGCTCTGGACTATCTTCAGCAGAACCTTTGTGATAGCACTTCCTTAAAAGCCTAAACGTGTTTTGTGTCACTAAAGGCATCCCCAAGTCCTGATAAGGTTCTTTGAAATTCTTTGGTCTGCTGCAGGGCAAATCTTGGCAATTTCAAAGGCTTCTCCCAGACACAGATTCAAAGCAAGCAAAGAAATCCCAATTGTCCATGCATATTTGACCAATCTGTCCTATTAAATACAGCAAACAAAGTCTTAAGAGACAGGACAATGTTTCTCTGGCACTCTTCATAGTTCTGCAGACAAATGAGTGCACCTAAAGCAAAGTGCACCTACATGGTGTTACCTATATTTATTGCTTAAAAAGCATGGATACGCATGCTAGTGTGTACTAAACCATCAGTAAATGATCAATAAGCTCTGAAATGAAAGCATTAACCTCTAAACAAATAGATCTGTTTTTACTGATAAAGGTCCATTCAGAAAATCCTGACTCTACAGAACATTCCTATTTTTCATCTCAACTAAGATCATGTTTTTTTTACCCGAGTCTCAGCCAGATGGATGCAATTTTGATCTTAAAAATTAAGATTTTTTTGATTCTTCTGTGAAAAGAATGGCTGAGAGCCTAAAAAGTTCAATTAGGGTTTCTGATTCAATGCTTACTGAAGACTTGGAGTAACTTCTGAACATTTATGTTTAAATTGCTAACATTTCACTGTGCAAGTACAACTAAACTTGATTAAGCGTGTCAAGGAGAAAAAAGAATTTAAGAACTCCATTAGTTTTCAATCCAATAAATATTAGACTTATTAACTGAATTTTATTTTAATTGTTAGTTTAACATGCCTTAAAATACTTACTTTAGAATCACACAGCCTGTCCCTGTAGGTGGAGCCGTCCAGAACACCTGAATGCGTGTCCTCCTCCGAGGTGTGCTCTCAGTCACAGCAACAGGACAATTGCTCATGAACTGTGTTTCTTCTTCATCTATGATCTAGGGAAATTTCAAGAGAAGAATGTGAAAAGGTAAGGACATACACAGCCAATGTCTCTCGAGCATGTTTTGTCAGTTCATGTTTTCTTCCAGTGGAATATTTATAATACTCTCTGCTTAGCTCAGCAGTACTTCGGTAAATTTATTTATAACATGCAGATTTCTCCCTGAATTGAAAAAGAAAGGCTCACAAAATAAAGGCAGAACAATAATTCAGTTCTAGGTAAAGAGAATCCAGACCTTTCTGAGTATGGCTGCAAATAACCCTTTATGTTGATAAATTAAAACTCATAAAATATTCATAATTTCAAGATTTTCTTTTTTAATGCTCTGGCAATCAACTGATTAGGACAGACTGAACATGCTAGAGAAGGCGGCGTTTCAGTTCATTTATTCTTTGCTTGCTTTTTAAACTCACATTTTTTTAAACAATACTATTCTTAAGGTATCAAAAGACTGTCCAGGTCAAAAGATGCAATATGTGGATCATAATCACTTATAATTCAGAGTCCATTATTTAGCCCAAACTGCCGACACTTTTGCTTTTTTGATCGATTGATGTTCAACAGAAAAGTTTAAGTGGTATAAGTCAGAAACCAGAGAGGTTAATTTGGAACTGGTGTTCTAAGGATTTTACTCAAAGGTGTCATGACAAAATAGCTTTCTCACTATATATGTGCTTCATGAGTTGTACTTCAAGCCGTCTCAAAGAAGTTTCATCAGAAACTGCTACGTTTTCTTTGGAAACAGGTAATGCTGCAATATTGCAAAATGTCTCTTCAAACTTGCTCAGTGGTCCCCTTTCATTCAATGAAGCTGCAGTTCACACTGCATTGGGTCAAGATTCAGGCAATGAACTACCATTTTGAGAAAGATGTATTTACCAATTTATAACATGACTCAACTCTGAAGTTGCTTTTACAGAATCCTGGTTCTAATAACACACTCACACACACTTTTACCGAATAACAATTTTAAAAAAATTAAAATCTTCTGGCAGTAAGCATAAGTTTAAACTAGCATTTGGACAAAAAAATACTGCTTTACATTCTAAAAAAGTGACAGTATCTATAGTTGCACCAGATTTGCTTTAGTGAGCAGGCATGCTTTTTATCTTACCCAGTGATACTACCAGCAGTCCCTAACATCTTTAGCTAAGCCAACAACCATTTCTATATTTCTATGGCAGAATGAAGCTGCAGTGGCCCAGAGGAGTGCTGAGAAACTCTATTTAGCTGGTCAATAGGGCAGCGGTTAATGAGTTTTAAATTTTAAGCCATTAATATTCTTCAAGTTTTTTAACGCTTCGCAGAATCTGTGTAACCAAACACAACATGCACATTTGCTGGAGTTTAATTAACATGAAGCTGTGGGAAGCATGGGATCTGGTGTAGGCTTAAACTGACTGCACAGCTTCTACTTCCACTGGATACAATGTAATGCATTTAACTTGAGCGTCAAGAAATCCCAGATCTACAATTCTCTCTTGGTCATCGACTGTATTTATTCCTGCAACAGTAAAATAAAGAAATAAAACTGTCTACTTATCTCTCAGAAAGGTTGTCTCAACTATTTCAGGACTATATCAATTGACCTTTTATCCATATCTCAGAGTAATTCATTCTCATTCAAAACCCAATTTTGGCGGAACCTCTGAGAGAAGAATGGGTGATTTTATACTACCTCATACACAATAAAATGCTACTGCACATTTTACAAAAGTGTGATAATTCCCATTGAAAAGGTTCTTAGAAGGTCATCAGACAATTCTTAAAAAGGACAGCTTTTCTAGAAAAAGGGAAATATTGCAAATTACTGTACAAGTTACACTAGCTCCATATTCTCTTATCAGATGCAAAATGCTGCTGTAGTATAATTCACACTCTCTCTACGAAACTTTTAAAATATGTTCAATTCAGGTCAAGATTAGATAATTACGGGTATGTATAAATACGACTGATCAGATACAAGCTTTTCAACAGTGACCAATGAAAATTTTCCAAATCTAGTTTAGCTCTGAATGTTTCTTGAGAAGCCCAACTGAAACGAACCCATGCTCTCTTGAGTACAGAGTTGCTGCTTTCAGTTAATGAGAACTTAGCTAATTTTATATCACTAAAGATCATTCCTCCAGCAGCCATCATTGCAGACTCATCCGTCATGCATTTGCATGTTAAGTACATTCTTATCTCCAGGTGAATGAATCCTGCTTTTCCCCCCAAACAATGAATGGAATCACAAGGAAAACCAAAACCAAATCCAGCAACTAATACTTAAGGAAGGAGTTGCGAGGAGTTGTAACAACTGTGAGTAGTTATTACAAGTCAAATTTATGACTACTGCAAAAGCAGAACCTGAAATATTTGCTTGAATTCTAGATAATCAGAATGTTGGAACATATCCATGCCCCTTTCCAGCTGCAACAAATGAACGTGGAAATGTAGACATATTTTGTACTTCTTTCGCTACCTAATTCCTGCCACTTAGCAAGTAAAGAATTTTCTCAAGGAATACAGATGCCTATAATGAAATAATTTTAAAGTTCTGGTTGTATTTTAGAACACAATCCTGGGAGAACAGGAAATGGCTGAGCCTCAAGGCTACATCACGATTTCCTGCATCACTAACCATCAAAGCAGAAGACTTATGCAATAAGTGTCTACTGGAAAAACCTGACCATAAAATAATGCCTTCCAAAAAGTGTTCCTTTGAAGAAAAATTAGACCGAAGCTTTCTTAATAAAGACTCCTACTGTTGACAGAATACAGTACAGCTCTCCTAAATTACTTGGAAAGGCTCGAATGTCAGTTGATTTGAGATGATTAAAGTTATTTTATGATACAGTAGAAAACTGAGAATTGTCCAGATTCTATGATTTCATGTAAATATAAAACTATCTCAAATGCATTTGCTAAAGAGATGATTTGTGTGTTTTTTCCATATCCATGGAGGTTCAATTCTTTATAAAAAGTTCTTAGGAGCAATAAGAAAGGGTTCCTGATTGATACAGCAGGATTAACAAACAACATGATATTTTAGGGTGGTGGATGCTATTATTCCACTCACAGGCAACACGGGAGAAAAGCAATAGTATCCTGGCCAACTGTAGGGGGGAAAAGAGATACATAATACAATCCTGATTTTTCTTTTGGAATCAAGTCAGACCACAGGCGTGAAGGAAAGAATTGGCAGGGAAAAAGGCACACAGATTAAAGTGTAGCATTTGCAAAATTATAGCTTTTAAACCCCAGGTTATCTGTAAAGGGAAGCCTTACATTTTCAGGAATGGGCAAGCAAATTAACCACATGTTGGACATAAATCCTAAAACAAAAAATAAACACTTGGCCAAAGAATCTGAGGCCTCAGAGGGAGGGATCTCTACGTGACTAACTCTTCCAAATCCACAAATGCAATGACATTAGGTTTTAATATTCTATCTAGTTTTTCTTGTGGAGGGCTTTTTTTGCCCATTATGATTGTAGTATTATTGGACCAATTTATTCCTTCAGGGAAACCAATGTAAATCCTGAGTAAGATTGCTGGAGTTAACCAGGATCTGAACGAATATCACAGCAAGTAAAATTTGGCTGAACTTGGGTAAATCTGCAAACATAAAGTAAGGATATTACAAGGGAAAATTTACCAGCACCAGGCTCAGTCTTGCATTCTTTACATATTCCGAACATTGATGTGGTTGAGGACAAGTTTTGGGTGTTCCTGAAAAGCAGGACTGGATAACTGCTTAGTTGTTAAACAGAGGAACAAGTGGTTTTCTCAGAATTGGAACATTTCACACTGAGTGAAAGAGCTTGCAATCTGTTTCTGATTTCTATAAACTGTTAGTCAAATAAACTGGGCAGTTAACCTCTGTAACATTGAATTTATATCAGTATTCAAAAAAAATTAAAAAATTCGAAATGCTAAACATCACAAAGAAAGGGATTAGTATCGAGTACAAAAGGAGATGAAGTTACATAAATCCTCTACTGGCTTGTGTCCACTTCCTTAGTTAAAACCACTGGCTAGGATCTTCAGCAACATTTCTTGTTCTGTGGACACATCATCACTTTCCACCCACTGAAACAGCTGCATTCTACTGGAACAACTGAATTAAAAAAAAAACATAAAGAAAGAACACAACCCAAAGTTCACAAGATAAGCTACTTTGTCAGTTTTCTTCTTTGGAAGAGCTTATATATAAAGTATGACTTCCAGAATGTTACAAAACTGTCTTCTCCTTGAGGAAACTTTCCAATTATAAAAAGAACATTGGGCCTAATAACAGGAATAATATTTGGCCTTTAGGGATTAATCTAGAACGGAGCTTATTATATGGAACGTAAAATTAATGATGTACAAAGTCAGTTTAAAAAACTTACCTCAAAGATATGCTTCACATAACCATATTCTTTGACTAAAGGACACATTATTTCTTTCAGAGTCTGTGCTCAGAATGAGAAGAATCAGAAGTGGGACTTTTTATGCAGTGTCAGTAATCAGTCTTGCTGCAGACTATGATACAAAGTTGTATGGAACCACTGAGCACTGCTGGGCTCTCAGTAAGATTTGCCATCTCTAGCAATGCACCAGAAGGCTGGAGTTGTCTGATAACCAGACACTCCTTGGAACACTGAGAACAGTGCAGATCTATGGAAGAAAGGCATTGCTAGCATACACTAAGATTATCACTACATTCTAGAACAAACTTTAGGTAGATGTCCCACAATGTTGCAACGAAAAATCAAATTTAGTTCTGCAATCATTACCTGAGAACAGACTTTATCAAGTAAAGATGAAATGCACTAGAAGATATTTCTGTTTAAGCAGCCTCAGCATAATTTCTATGCTTCTCCATCTACCTGTCCATGTACTGTTTGTTTTTCCTCCCAGTCACAAAACAGTGGGAACCATGGGGGAAGAGGGAGGGGAGAGGAAAGGACCTTCCAGTTCCATAAAGTATGATGCTAGGCACTCAGATTAATTCTTTGAAGTACATTAG